TATATAAAGAAAATATTCCAAGCCTTGTATCTCATTTTTCTACTATGCAATCAGGGTCCAATTTTTTCACCAACTGTGAATCCTTTATTAGAGATTATTTTTGAGTAAAAAGACAAAAAAAAAATAGCTGGAAGCTCGATTTTCCTAGTACAGACCCATATTAATTTAATTTCGAATTTTTGCCAACCACTTATGTCAAATGAAAAGAGTCCTTCAATAAATTAACAAAATATAATTCATCAATGGATATAATAAATGTATTTATGAAAAAAGATTAAATTTGTATGAAAAAAGAAGGGTGGGTTATGACTTTGTTGGATTTTTTTACTATCAATGTATATACGGGGCATGCTGCAACAAAACCATCACAATATTCATCTAGAGAGTTTTCAAAAGAGTATTAGAGAATTCTAGTAAAGAATCAAGAAAAAAAAGAAAACTGGCAGAATAACAAATAATTACTTTTTTGATTACCTTTGATTTTCAATTAAGGTCTTTTTTTAGTTTCTTTAACTTCAATTTGAGCAACTTGTTGAGAAGTTAACTGTTCTAACTGAGTCTTTAACCTTTTGATTTCCTCTTTGTGATTATCATTCTCTTCTTCTAACTGCTTAATTAAGTCTAATAATTCTTGCTTTTGTCTTTTACTTCACTCCTCAGACTTTTCTTGAAATTTGACTACTTCCCTTTCAATTTCTAAGGCTTCTTCAGTCTTGTTTAGTTGTTCTTGTAGGGAGTTTATTTGCTGTTCATAGAAAGCAGATTGACTTATTTCTTCATGAGGTAAGAGAGGAAGTTCTTTTTCTTCCATATCTTCTTCATATTTGACACAAAAACAAATATATTCACCACTAAGAACATCAAGGTAATGTCTAGTTTGTAATCTGCCACATTTCTCACATTTTTCTAGTTCATCATTTTCAAACTTTTCCTTACAGCTCTCACAAGCTACATCATCTGCAACATATTTACCATTTGTTTTAATATGAGCTACTATTTGATTAACAGACTTATTATCCTCTCCATAAAGATTAAAACAAAAATCACAAGTTTTTCAACTTGTTCTTTCTAAATTTAAAAGTGTGTAAGTTAACTCTCTCATTAATTATCTGTTTACTTCTATTCTAGCAATTAACACTTGGATTTGGTGTTTTTTGTTCTCTATCAATTGATTGAATTTAGTTTTTGTCTTTTCCTTAAATAACTTAAATTTACTTTGTTTTTTAGGTAAAGCAGGTAAATCCTTTTCAAATAAATGTAATTGGTTTTGCAACTTTTTGTTTTCTTTTGTAAGGTTTTTTTTTTGCAAATCTTTTCTGAAATTATCTTATTAGATGTTTCTGCCTTTTCCCTTTCTTGAACTAGTTCTCACTCTAACTTACTAATTTTTTCATTGTTACTCTCAATTGTCTTACTAGAAATTTTAATTTCTCTTTTATGTCTTCTGCTTGATTTTTGCTTCATTTTTCACCAACTGTTAAGATTTCCTTAACTTTTCCTGTTCTATTTTTACTCTTTCTTCTAATTCTTCTACCTCTGCTTCCAAATTTTCTTGTTCTGCTTCTAATGCCTTAATTTTCTCTTTGTATTCTTGATTTTGTTTAACTGCTTTAAAAGTTAATTCATTCAAACTATTGACTAACTCATCAAGAGAAAGATGACTAAGGTTAAAATAATCATAACGAACTAGACTCATTCTATCTTCTTCATATCCTTTTTCTAATATACTTTTTAGAGTTAAATTATCTTCTTCTATCTTTTCTTCATTTAATCATTTTCTAAATAATTCTTTACTTTCTTCCAAGTTTAATTTGATGAGGCTGATAAAGATATCTCTTTTAGCCTTATTTCTCACACTCCCATGAACACTTGATTGCTTGTAATAAGGATAATATTGATAAGTATTGAGAACTAAATTCCTGCGAGCTGGTTCAGTAGGATATAATTTACAAAAATTAGACCACTTTTCTTGGTCACAATAAACTCTCATAATTTCACCAACCATATCTACATTAGGATTGTCAGTATAATGACTTTCACTTAAAATAATAGCTATTCATGCTCTAATTTCTTCATTATTCAACTGTTTAAATTGTAAAGGTGCTTTTAATTTTTCTACTTATTCTAATAGTTGTTTATTTCTCTTTTGGAGTTCATTTATTGTGTTAACATTTTTTTTTTATTTATTCTTTTAATATATACCTATCCCTATATATATAATTTTATAATTTCATGTTCATTTTATATTATTTTTATATTTAATAGTTTTAAAACAATTTATTAAAAATAACTTCTTTTATTAATTTTTCTTTTCAATACAAAAGTTCTTTAAATGTTTTATTTACATATATGTAGTAGATTAGATGACCATAGATGTTAATGTCTCTTATATCAACTTTTAAAGTCAATATTCACATACACAATGTGCAATGACATAAAAAATCATGCTTCATTCATTTAAGATATCACTTGCTCTTTCACAATTTTACCATCTTTCAAACATGCATACATTTGTACATCATCAAATTTTTCATTATGTCAAAAATGGGCAACATTGAGTCCTTGAATTTTCTGTTCTTCAGATTGATACTTAGATTCTCTGCCTCATAATATCTATCCTCCCAAGTGAAGTGAACAACCCAAATTGCAGTAGCAATTAGGACATCACCTAAGGTTGCTTGCTGAAACCTCTTAGTGACTGTCAAAAAATTGTCAAAACTCTAATGAACAATGACATCAGGAAAATAGGTACAAATATTATGCGTATATAATACACAATTGCAGGGATTAAGCATATAATATGCGTACAATTTGCATACATAAAAAAATACGTGATTTGTACTCATATTATATGCTTAATCCCTGCAATTGTGTATTATATACGCATAATATTTGTACCCATTTTCCTGATGATTAGTATATACCTTGTCAAAACTCTGACAATTGACAAAACCCCCAAATGCAAAACTCTGCCAAAACTCTAATAAACAATTAATGTGTAACCTGTCAAAACTCTGTTGATTGATTTCTGGAGGAGTTTCACCTGCAACCTTAACATCACCATAAGACAAAGCACAATTAAAATGTTCTTCTAGATTTGATTGGTTAGCTGTAGCCACAAGCTCTAATACAATATTTTCTTCATTATTATCGATTACAATGTCAATATAATGACGCACATAGCTTCCATCTGACCAACTTATGTTAAGTGCCACTGTCCAGTAACAGCAAGCCAATTTCTCAAGATTCTTATTAATCCCTGATCATAGGTGCTTTCCCTAGGAATTTTCCTCCCACTTTTACCATTAATAGGTTCAGTTGCTTTCTTGAAACAACATGAAGGTTCCAGACAAATGAGTCACATGAAAAGGACAGAGGACAGGGAACCAGCCACTTATAACTGTCCTCTGTCCTTTTCTAGTGTCCCCAGACAAATGTGATTCACATCAAAGAAAGTAACAACTACTTGAAGCATCTTAAGGATATCAAGTTTCTGATATTTATCACTTTGATGTGCATGTGGAAATGATTCTGGAAGAACATCTGTTTTGATGTATGTGCCAACAAGGGAAGATGATAATCTGATCATGTTCAAGGAACTATCAACTAAAGACTGATGCCGTAAATTATGATGATGGTAGTAATTGTATTTACGGCATATAAAAAGTGGTTGCAATTACCTTTGCGACCACTTTTGCAACCATACTTTTTCCTTTTTTTGATTAAGTGTCAAGACACCTTCTGCTTCCAAGAATTTTATCAAATGATTATGTTGATCAGGAACTTCTGTGGATTTTACACCATCAAGAAGGTATTGGCAAAGAAACTTTACAGCTTCCATGGAATGAAGTTCTTTGAGTTTATTAATCATCTTATGAGATGTTCAGTATTCCCTTATCTCTTGTGGTAATGTTTTAAGTTTAAATTTTTGCCAATGTTGGTAAGTAGTACATCATCTTTCATTAAGGTTTTTGATGGTAAATTTTCATCAATAGCACACCCACAAAGGCAAGTAAAGCCTGTGTGACTTTGATAAAATCAATAAGAATGATTAGTTTTTTCTTGGTACACATTATAAAAAGCATCATAAAGAATCACACCTACCCATTTGTTAAAGCATAGACACCTGTGATCACCAGAGGGTCAATGACAATACCTCTATCACTCATAAACTCTTCAAATGAAGTTTTGACTTGTTTAAATGGCAAATCTGGATTCTGATATTTTTCTGTGATGTTGAAGGGAGATACATGAGGATTACAGAATCTCATTTTGGGGGTTTTGAGACAAAAACCTCAGAATGAAATTTGTGTATGTTCCCTTTCATTTTCTGCTATATTCTCTTTTTGGTTAGATTTAATAAGTTTAACCTTTATGATTCCTTTTTATTTGTGTCATACTTCAAGATACAAATATTTCATATTTGTGTCATAATTTTTGGTTAGATTTAAATTTACTAAGAATTAACTATATATCTGTTTTATGATTAAAATTACCTTATGAACCTTTCTGAATAGTTAATAAATTTAGGACAAAATGGCCTTTGATAAAAACGTTTTCACTTACCTTTCTCCATTGAGTTGACTATCTTTGGCAAATAGTAATGATGCATGAAACCAATTATAGGCATATTTCTCTACTAAGTAATCTACCATGAGTTTTTGGATTATTTTTTTTGATTATTTTAAACAGAGAGTTTTAATGAAATTTTTTTAAAAATACCTTAAATGGGGCATACTGCAACAAAACAAGACAAAGTGAATATTAGTGTTACAAAGAATTTCAGAGATCAATAGTGTTTGTTTAACATCACAATTATTTTATCAATGATATTTGTCTAGACAAAAATAGTTATTATGGTTGGCTCGGTCTAAAGAACTCCTATTGCTGCGCCATGCAGCCAAATTTCAAAATAGCAATTTTATAATTCGTTCAAAAATGTAATAAATTTTTTTTCAAAAAATAGGACTTCACATGATTTTAGTTTTCTTACTGCCAAATTTAGATACGATAGTCGAGAGCTAGTCTAAATTTGGTAATATTTTTCCTAAATTTAGAAATGATCATAGTGGGCAAATTCCTCGTGAGCATAGTAAAGTACATGTTTTAAAAAAGAATAGAACTCTACAACAAATAATTTTTTTGAGAAATTCTCTCTATTATATTAAAACTAAAGACATATTCTATCAACTAATAGAGCTATTTTTTTAAAAATTAGGACAGAAAGTGACTTCTATACTTTTAAAATTTGCCTAAAATTTAGGAGGTCTTTAGACCAAGCCAACTATATGAAATTAATTTACATCAGATCTACTATGGAACCCAAGAATTATAGCACCATTAGAAGTATTTTGAAGAACAAGGTGAAAAAATTGCTCCTTACATTTTCAAAATAAAATGATACTCAGACATTGGAAGCTTATCTAAAAAAAGAAAAGATCACTTATGAAATTTACCAAGAAAGAAAAATAATAAATATTAAGAAAAGAAAGTGGCATGAAAGCCAACAAAAAGCAAAATCCTTAGAAGGAAAATAATTGTAACACGCAAATGGCAATTAATTTTATTACCATATTTGGTAATCAGAGGAATTCATTTTTCGTTTAATTAAATTTACTTATTTAGCAATCGGGATTTTTGCTAAGGAATTATACATATATTATTATTGTTATCATTATTATTTTTATTAGGGAATTTGGATGTTATATTGTTATGCTATATTACGGGGAATATAATTGTATTATTATCATATTTATATTTATTTATAATTAAGGAAGTTATCTTTTAAATTACGATCATACTTTCCAGGAAGTCTATAAGCTTATATTAATTTTTTTTATTTATTTCCATATTATCTATATTTATATTTTAAAGAATTGTATTTTTATTTTTCAAAGAAGTAAAATTCAAACAAATAAAGATAACTTTTTGTAATTTTACAACAATAAAATTACCAGTTCATTTAACATGGTTAAATAAATATTCAAACGTTTTTAAATAATTCGTAATAATTATTTGAACGTTTACAATAATCTTATTATTACAATATTGATTTACTTTTTTACAATGAAAACTTTCCTTTATTGTTATCAAATATCATCATATTGCATTGTTTGTCAAGAAAAACAATGTTCCATCTTCGCTAAAAATAAAAAAAATCAATTATCATCAGACAGTTTTTTATTCCCACTCATCCAGAATAACTTTTTCAAACAGTATAAACAATGAATTGAATCATTCTTTTTAAAATATGGATAATTTTGTAGGATGATGCAATGATGATGGTGGCAAGACCCCTGAGACTGTTAAATAATTATTAAAAGTATGTAACCATCTTTTTTCACCTTGACAATTTTTTAAATCAAGAATGGCCTCTATTCCATCATCAGTGATGTTGTCAAAACTGTGAGTAATGAGAAAGTTTACACAGGCACTGAATAGAACAGGCAGATAATGAGAAATTGATAAAATAAGTAACAAATTAGAGAGAATTCGGTCACTTTGAGACAATATAGGCATATGCCATCAATGAAATAATTCATTGGTTCTCATGCAAAATCTTCAATCATAAAAAAAGTGATTCATGTTCAAAAGAGGAGTAATCTGTTTATTATTAAAAAAAGATGTACATTGCATTTGTTCGTGAACTTGTTTATTTTTTTTTTAACGACGTAATCTTGTTTTGACATTTGGTTTATATTTTTAATACACATTAATATAAATGAATTAATTACATAAGAAAAGTTAAACTTTATACAATGCAAAACTCCCCCTGTAATACTTATTTAAAGTATCCATTTGGGGCGACTTGACGTCGTCTCGTGAACTTGTTTATACATATATCTATTCATTTGTGGCTAATTGTTTTGGGAGAAAAGTCTGATTAAGTGTAATTTTTAAAACCCTAAATTTAAAATTTTTTTTTAAAGTTGCAATTAGAAAAAGTTTTATCTGATCCAAAACTGTATGATATGATAATACTTGTTCTAATAATAATAAACAATAAATGAAGATGGGTTTTTATTTTAACTTAAAAATTTCATATATTTGGAGAAGATCACCTTGAATTTTTACACAAATAAGTAACAATATAATACAATTAATTCGCAGATCATCTATCAACCAGGGGATTTTTTTATAAAATCATAGGGGCTAATTTCATAGCAAATTTGCTATTATTCAAAATGGCAGCTTTGTCACAAATCCAACGTATGAAAAACAAAGAACTCATTTACTACTATATGCGAAGTTGTTCCTTTATGATCTGTTCCAACAAAACAGCAAACTTCACCAATATAAAAACACCCAACTCATCACATATAGCGTCTTATATTCTTTAAAAGATTTTATTTATTTAAAAAACTATAAAAAAACAATAACAACAACATGGAAAAACGATCAACATAAGTAATTTTATATACAAAATATTAACCCAAAACTTCGAAATGGTGACTTCGTACATAACTTTCTTTTTTTCTAACATATAATAAAGATTTTTTTTTTGATTTTCATGTTTTTTCACATTTATCCTATTGCTTTGCACAAAATTTGGTGTGATATGAATTTTGTATGTTGTATAACTATTTCACAAACACAGTTGATTATTTCCTTCAATTAGTAAATATGCCCAAATTTTTATATGTAAATCCCCTGCTTCGTACACGTTTCACCAATTAATATTTTAATATTTTATGTTACCTTTTTTATCCTCAAATTGAATGTCGATCATATTGTAAAAGGGCGTTATCTTTCAAGATTTTACAGTACTACCTATTGAAATATAATTTATTGTCATCATAATTATCATATATTTGCTTTAGTGTTATTAGCTCTATTATTATTCTTATAGTTTATTGGATAGTTGGCTCATAATGAGCAGGCATAAGAATTGTTCATTATTTAATAGAAATTTATTAAATCATCTAAATAACAACATAATTATACATGAAGTTGAAATTAAAACCCAAAGTCGTAACTTTTTGACTTGAGGCAACTACATAGTAAAAATCAGTTTCGACCTTATTTTGACCCTATTTTGACCAGATCTGCAAATGGTTGAAATAGTTTCGACTTCATGTATAAACATAATACATAGTTGTGTGATTTTTTATTAATCTCTGCCTAAATAAAATATTTTTAAACCCAGTTAATTAACCAGTTGGGGGTTTTTTGACTGGTTCCAACCTCTAGTTTTGGAAACCAATAATACGTAGCTTTAATAATAAAAAACAAGCTTCAACTTGATTTGATTGTCTTATTTATTATTTTTTTAAATTGTTTATTAATTAAATATAAATGTTATAATATGAAAATTTACATGCACTCTCTTGAGAACCTAATCTATAATTGATATAATTTACTTATTTTAATATATAAAAATGAGGGAAATTCTAAGGCTCAGCCAATTTTAGTTTGAGAAAAATCTAACTGATAAGTTTTGAAGCTTGGGTCATGAATGATAAAACTTATTGCTTAACTTTTCCAAAATGATATAAGAATTTTTTGCTTTAATATTTTGAAGTGACCAATTGTTACTATAATAACAATGACATTGTATAAAATTCAATGGGAAATTATTGTAAATTTGTATACTGGATTTCTACAAACTAAATCATCTAAAATTTTCAATAAAATATATTCATTAAAGGGTGTTATACATTGGACATGGGGATTCTCTAGCAAAAGGTGACTCAAGTGTTCTCTGACAAAAATTGAGTTTTTTGCATGCTGTATATTTATATTACAAGGATCATAACTGGTAAAAAAATCAGGTCATCTTTACTTGGTAAAAAAATAAAGTTTAGGTAAAGGATATCTTTATATGGATTATCTACATACTGACAATTGTTGATATATAAATATTTTTTCTGGTCTTCTGATAAAGGGTCAAAACTTGTACTCTTAAAAAGGTTATAAGAATACTTTTAACCAATAATTAACCTAATTGTCAAGCTTAAACATGTCTAGTTAGCATAACAAAAAACGTGTCTCATGTTTTGAAATATATAGGTATAAATTTTTGTAAGGATCAGTTTGTTACATTATTATGGGATTTTAAAATACTACAACATTTATTCATTCAATAATTAAACATTGTATTTGCATAATAAGCAATGGATCTCATGTTTGGAAATATATATGTAACTTATTGTAAAGATTAGTCAAATATTTATTGAGAAAATAGAAATTTTGATATGTAGTGACAAAGGTCGTCGTAATATATTAAATATGTGATTAATGATGTTAACCAGTAGAAAAAATTTGGCCGGCT